ATATATATATTTATATATTTATATGTATGTATGTATGTATGCATGTATGTATGTATATATACATATATATATATATCTGTATATATATATATATTTTTATATTTATATTTATATTTATATATATATATATATATTTACATATTTATACTTATTTATATTTTACATATATATATATGTATATATATATGTATATTTATATGTGTATATTTATATATGTATAGAGACTCATTTATATATATATATATATAAACATATATTTATATATTTATGTAAATTTATATATTTATGTATACATATATATGTATATTTCTGTATATATTTTTTTTATGTATACACAATTGTTCATTTGTTTATTTGTATGTATTTATAAATTAGATATGTTTATTTATCTATTTATTTATCTATTTATAGATATTTGTTTATCTATTTATATATATTTATTTATCTGTTTATATATATTTATTTTTCTATACATGTATATAAGTATATATATATATACATATACAAAATTTATTTATTTCGGTTTTTATATATTTACATACATTTATTTATACATTTATATACATTTATTTGTATATTGACATACCTTTTTTTGCATTATAAATTGTTGTGGAATATATACATATATATATATACATGTCTTCATACATGTTTATTGGTTTGATGATATGGTTCGTTTCTTTAATATGTATTTTAAAAGACAAAAACAAATGAAGACATATATATATATATAGAGAGTATGTATATACGTATGTATATGTACATGAGAGATGCATTCGGCTGGAGTCGCTTGTTTCTTGCTCGCACATGAACCCAATCAAACGAAAATCATTGGTGTCTTGGAGTGCCTTGCATAACCTATTGAAACATGTTGTCGTCACAAGATGATTTCAATAAGCGGTCCATGTAACCGTTTGGCACACATTGCGCAAAAGAACTTGCAGCCAGGCTTGTGAAATGAAGCTGTTTTTTGGATACATGGAGAGCCATGCAGCGCTGCCAAGAAGAGCTGCGGACATTCATGCAATGCTTGACCTTGCCGCCCCCTCCTGCGGCGTGCTTCGATTGCACGATTGCTCTTGCAGTTGGAAAATGTGATGTTGGAAGATCGGCCGAGCGGAAGGGCTGACACGCCCAGGCAAACAAGCCAAGCCTTAAGCCCAACAAATGTGTGAGTTTGCATCGTTTCCGGAATTCCCGCAGTCACAATTCGGCAACCACTTGTGCCGAAAATTTCAGTGGTATGAGCTTGAGCTTGATGTTTGTGTTCCCAAGAGTGGGTTGTCTTCCATTTTTTCGCTGTTGGTACATTTCTTACAATGCACGAATGCAAAAGGGTAGGTCTGTGACGAATCGTGTGGAAAGTTATGTCCGCCAAAGTAAGCAAACCGACCAATTGATCTTGGTAATGTTCATTCACCAAGGTCCAAGGCTTCGCCTCTACAATCGCCGCTGAGCTTGATTAGCATCGAACCGAATTGTCTGTGGAATCCGACCGCTGACATCAGGTCACGCCCCGCACCACGAGCACATTTGCGGTGTCTGCCTCGTCCGATATGCATCGGCAAATTTATTTGAATCATTGCGGCATAAGTGTACGGTGGAATGGAGTTAGCTCTTGCGAGAGCGGGTGCGACCTGCAATCCCAGTTTCAGTGCCGAAACCTGAGGTTGGACCTGCCGTTTGACAAAGCACTGGAGGAGTTGACAATTCGACTGGCGCATGACAGCACGCAGGCCGCAGACTGTGTCACACATGTGTTGACAGTGGTGCAGGCCCTGCCTCCAATCAGATTTTGTGCTGAGTGCGTTATGTTGCCTACTGCGAATTGACTTCGGTGGGTTTAAGCATGGTTCCTAGTTTTCGTTTGTTGTAATTATTGGCTTTGCGGTTGAAGGTTGTCTTGGTTGTCGCTATCGTTCCGCAACTACAATCACACGTTCTTGAGGTAGAAGGAGGAGGAGGAGGGCCCGGCTCGGCGGGGCGGGGCAAGGCGCAGGCGCGGGCGCGCGGGTGCAGGCGCAGGCGCAGGAGGCGCAGGAGGAGGCGGAAGGAGGGAGGAGGAACAAGAGCAGGAGGAGGAGCAGGAGCAGGAGCAGGAGCAGGAGCAGGAGGAGAAGGAGGAGGAATGAGGAGGATGAGGAGGAGGAGCAGGAGGAGTGGAGGACCAGGGATGAGGAGCAGGGGGAGGAGCAGGAGAGGGAGCGGGAGGAGGAGGAGGAGGAGCAGGAGGAGGAGGAGCAGCAGCAGGAGGACAATGAGGAGCAGGGAGGAGGAGCAGGAGGAACTGCTTCATGTAGTAGTGGTGATGGTGATGAGATGTTTGTGGTTGTTCTGTTTCTGTGCGTCATTCATTGTACGGATTTGGTCTGCCACTTGTCTTCACTAGTTGCTGTTGGGATGGACTGTTCTTTCTTCGTTGAGCTGACCGCACCAGTCAGGAGAATGCGACACCTGGTGGCTGTCTCAAACTTGTGATTTGCAGATCGACAACCGCCCCAATGCAGCATTTTGTGGGCAGCAAGAACATGCCTGTGTGTCGTCCAAAGTCCGGCTTTCACGTGCCTAGGTGCGAAGCCTTCGAAGCCCAGGCCACGTGTACGAATTGAGATTGTTTGGTGCACAAGCTGGCAGGAAGATAAGTAGTATCGTTTCTTAAAGCTGCCAAAGTTCAGAATTGGCCAGGGCAAGTCGTTTCGTAGACGACACTGTTCTTAATCCGATTTCATCTCAGAAGGCCTGCGTCGAGCACCCAAAACTGGCGTCGGGCCAGCCCTAGCAAGACGCCAAGATTTTGAAGCGTTCCGACGAGATGTCGCGAGACATGTTGCAGAAGCTCCAGACGCCGAGCCGAGGCCAGGCACCAGCGATGAAGCGGGCAAGGTCGGTGGGCTCCGTCGGTTCGCGACAGAGCCTCGGAGACCGAGACGGTTCATGCCGGAACAAATCATGATGGGCATGTGGAGGGCGTCTTGCTCATCAACTACTTAATCCCAAAGCAGACTGAGGTTCACCTGTGTCCCCTTCGTCGAAGAGGGGGCTGACAGGATCAGGAGCGAAGTTTGCATCACGAGTTCTTGAGTTTTAGTCTTCCCAGATACCCTCCTTTGCCAGGGATGCCGGGCCGTCCGCGAAACTTTCTTGGTCAGTGGCCACAGACTCCGCCACGGTTAGCTTCAAGGCTCCTGCCGGGCCGCCCAAGGGACTGTCAGCGATTGACTGTCTTGGCCACAGCAGTTGATGGACGGTTTTCGAGCTTGCTCAAAGCATCAGAATGCCTCCACTTCATCTGTAAACTTTGCATGGAACCTTGTTCATCCATCGAGGTCTTGCCGTAGCGCAAACGCAAACCTTCAAGGATCTCCCTCCGCAGCCAGCACCTGGGCAAAATCTGTGCGCGGAAAGACTTCCTTAGCCTTGTCAGACTGGAATGAGAGAGAGAGAGAGAGAGAGACAGAGACCCGATAAATATTATTGGGTGGGCCGCTTTGGCCCGGGGACGTTGACCCGTCCCCATGCCCTGGAGAGAGAGAGAGAGAGGTATTCGCTTATTCTCGCATAAGCGAGTTCTCCAAAGGATGGCTCACAGGTGTGGCAGGGAAAAAATGCCAAACGATTTGTAGAGCTCAAAGCTGAGGTAGAGCACCGCCTCCGGAAGCCTGGGGTGGCGCAGCAGCGTTAGCCCAGAAAAGAGAGCAACGCCAGGATCGCGGGCTTTCATGCAGATTGCGAAGGTAAGACATATATATATATATGGGGGTGTAAAAACTTGAACGGAGCTGTTGATCACGAAACGCAACTAAAGTTGTTTTCCAGACATCGTGGCTTGGCATGGTTGCTGCAATGGTGCTTTTCTGCTTCCGTGTGCTATCTCGCTTGAGGCATTCGGTCTCTAAGTGGCTACTAGACGAACCCAGGGCAGATTCTGGACTGCTGGATTTCCTAGCGGTCGAGGGTTTAGGTTTCAGGCATAGCTCCGACTCCGCCGATATGAAAGCAACCTGGCGCAGACCTGCCCGACTTTCCCAGGTTCAGCACAGCCGGAAGTGGAAATAGACGGTGCTTCGCTCGGAGGGTTCAGCAGTCCTTCACCCACTGCAGGGCCAAGCTGGCACTTTGATGTCTTGTGACATGCCTGCGTCGTCTGTGGTATATCTATCCCGCACTCCGTCGACAGGCCTGCAAGAGCCTCCTACCGACATGGACGGGGAAGCAGGCACAGGGACTGTAGGGATTGAGTCACGATCGTGTTTCAAAAGCTGCCCAGTTGATCCTGCGTCAAATTTTGGTTGTGAGGGAGATCTCTGTCTGGTTCTCTATAAGGACTGTGGGGGGGGGGAACCACCCTCTATCGACCGACATGTCCTTTTCAATGATATATATCTAGGGCGGGAAGAATACCTTCAATAAGAAAACACTACTTGGTGTAAATTCGTCTTGCGTTCTGCTGTCGCTGCATTGCAAACCACGACTGCATACTGCCGTCTAGCCAAAAAATCAGACAAACTGCACGACTATATATGGAAGTTCAAGAACCAAGCAACACAAACACATAAGCACAACAACAAATCCAAAAAACACGAAAACACCATAAACACCAAACAGCGTAAAATCCTATGTGTAGGATAAGGCTGTTTCTTTTTTTGGTTTTGGTTGGGTACTTGCAGCTCCGCGGTTGTGCTGCTGGTTTGCCACGCGGCATTGGTTCTACACATGTAATCTGGATGTCATGTGTTCACAAGAAAGTTGAAACTCATATTCAATTTGTTACTCGCTGCAACCTCTGATCTTCAAGCACTGCACGTAAGTCGTTTCTGCGAAGCTAGTTCCACACTGATACAGGCTTTAATCCTTTCCGGCCTTGTTCCCACCTACGTGTTTGTTCATATGTGTGGCATATGTTTCCATGTTTGGAAACGTTCACAATACATATGATGCAGCATGTATGCAAATCTGGCTTTAGTAACCCATGTGTATCTTGATTGTTCTTACAGGTGCTTCCACATATGTGCATGTGTGCAAAGTTGCCGATATTGCTCAAGATAGATAGGCAAGCATATAGAGATATGCATATAGAGATATATACGCAGCAGACATTGAGCATGGTTACATGTAATACTACACATCACGTATGTTTATATATTTTTATTTTTTTATGACGGCGGTGCTTTTATATAGACATGATGAGTGAACTTGTGTGTACGCACCGACGGATTCCACTGCAGTTGTCGGTATAGAGCTATAGAAAGTCCATAATACAAAACAGTTTATATACATGCAAAAATCTGCAGGTGAACGCTCGTAGCAAATATGCAGCATGTATGCATGTAAGCCTGGCTTTAATCATGAACATTCATGAACCGTGTATGTACCCTATATTCATAGATGTGTCCATGTGTGTTTTGGTTGTTCTTACAGGTGCTTCCACACATGTACACGTCTGTCTGCAGAATTGCGTTCCCCAAGAGATCGATAGGCAGGCATATAAAGAGATATATGTAGATGTTGAGTTGTAAAGTTCACAAAAGTCATAGAATGAAACAGCTATATCGTATGGTCGCATGCCATGCTACATTTGATGTATGCTTCCATGAGAGCGCTGATTCTTTTTGTAAACGAAGAGTTATTCAAGTGTGTATACGCCGCTCGACAACTTTTGGCCGCGTGGAATGTAAAAACACACAACACACACACACAACACAAACACAAACACAAACACCCCCACACACACACACACAACGGGTGCGCATGTGCAAACATGTTCGGCATTCTAAAAAACAGGCAGATGCATAGATTCTAGGCCTTTACATACATTTCGTTTGCTGCATTTAGAACATACATAAGCAGCATGGTCATGTTGGTCATGTCATGGCTTTACATGCAAGTCTGCTGGTCTCTGCCTATAAAGAGCCCTGTGGATTCCATACTTGTAGATGATGGGTTCTCATTGACTCGACTTGTGTCTACACCAACAGCATGCACTAGTTTGGCTGCTTTCGAAGTACATGCTACCAGAACAGAAGACCAAAGCAATTGTCCTATCTCAAGTGACACTATAACCCATTTCTACAATATAGTTGGTTTTTTTTTACACTTCTTTTACGATGACTTAATATGTTCAGTTTCTGATTCGACCAAAGACCATCTCTGATGGTGGAGTAATCTTGATTGCTTGACACATGTCTCTTCCGTCCGGAATTGAGCTTTGCTGCGGAAGTTGGCTTCAAAGCTGAGGCCAGATGCTGAATAGGCCAAAGCCCGAAGCGTATCGTAATCTAATATTTTTGATCATTAAAAACCCGCTCCCTCTGCAGTCACATCCGTCGGAGCGATTCAGTTTGCTTTCACTGCCAAACACGCGAAAGGCGGCCGCGACGGGCAGATCTCTCAGACCAACGAAGGAGGGGATCTGCTTGGGGAATGCCTGCTGTAGAGCTGCAGCAGTTTGCCGCGCAGCATTTGTCAGGAATTAGTCTGTTTGCGTCAGCGGTCACCAGAATGGCTGCAATTGCAACTGGTTTCTGAATGCCTGCCGTTCTTTTGACAACTCTAAGCAGCCTGTTGCACTGCAACAGTCTGCTACGTCTCCAGTTTCTTAGTTGCCTCCGAACGACCCCAGTGAGTTCTCCATCGGGTGACCCGGCGAAACTCGGTATCTTCAAGGACCAGTGGACCACCCGAACAGGCAACGTCGCAGCTAGCGCTGCGCAAGGTTCAAACCACATGCTTCCGGATGCACCCGGTTGAAGTCATCTGCAGTCGACCCCAGTCTTGGAGCGAAGATGGCGCATCCGGATTGAGGGAGGTGGACGCCACTCAATGACTTTTCAGCAACAACCAGGTCCGATTGCATGTGCCGTCGCGCTCTCCGTAAATGGACTTTCTCCGGGTTGGCTTCAGGGTTGAGCAGCAACTTGTGGGTGAGGTTTCTTTTGGTTGCTAGGATGGGTCCACTTCAGGTTTCGTTTTCTTTCGGATGGAGCCAGGCTTTACCGATCTTGTTCCGGCCCGGATATGCAGAGGCTGAGCTTGAGACTCCCCTCCCCGCCCTTCGCAAGCCCAAAAACCTCGTTGCCCTCCTGGCGGTCATGGAGCAAGCCTCGACAGTGGGCGGCTCGAAGAGCATGCAGGGATGCACGCAAGGCTCACGCAAGGCATGGGAGCAGTCTTTTGGAGAGCTGCCCTTTTGCGCCGCTCGCCAGCGACAGTAGGAGAGCCTTCGCCAAGGCCAAGACGACACCCGACCCCGTCCTTCGCCTTCTTGGTCTGATCCTGCAGAGACCGAGGCCATGCAAAAGCCCCGGAGGCCACCACGAAAGCCCAAGAAGGACACAACTGCGTGACCGCTGTGCTGCGCCTGCAGGCTGTGGGGGCCGTTGCAAAGCCAATCCAAGCACCATCGGGATTCGTGGGCTTGGGGTGCACCATCTGCAGCCCATGCATCTGCTTCTGCCACTACGACGATTTCTTTTGCGAGGCTTGCGCCTAGCGCCTCGGGTTGGGCCTTGCTCTTGCCTTCGACCCGCAGTCCGTGCAAGGCTTCCTGGCTCTTTTCCGGGTCTTGACTCTGCCCACGGCTTCCCTGGTGCTAAGGGCCGGTTCCCTGTCATGGTTTGTTGGATTGCTCTGCGATGGCACTTCAACCCTTTGCTAGCAGCTGTTAGCATCGCCCAATGTACAAGCTTTTTTTTGTTGGATTGCTGGCACGATCTTCTTCGCATAGTCGTCAACTGAAGCTTGGAACGTACCTAAGTCGATGCACAATGCGGGCCATGCCAGTCCTGTGTCAACGTTCGTCAAGACGTCAGTGTTGTGTTGTTCTGAGTCGGTCCTTCCAAAATGTTCTGCAGATGGAAAGAATCTGGCAGGACCTGAGCTCCAGCTCTTTGGTGCGGTGCTGCGCTCCGCTTCAAACCGCACTTCGGCGTCTGCACGGAGAGGCTGGAGTTCTTTGTATCTCCATGTGGAAGCAAGGCGCCTATCCAGTTGCAGACACAACCAAGGGTTCAAGGGTTGTGATAGCGACGCAATTTGCAGCTTCTCCTGGTTGAGGGCTTGAGGTGGCCGGTTTTGGGAGGATGACCACTTTCGCCCTTGCTGCAGGTCGAAGCAAGCCAAAGAGATCCGAGATGCTGCTCAGTGTGGGCCGGAAGCTTCGTGTTGGGATTGAACTGCTGGGACTCTATTCCGCCGATGGAGCCGGTGTCAAATCCTTTTTCCAGCATTGCTAGCTGCCCATTTAAACCAAGCTGGGCCAGAGATTTAGATTCTAGATGCAGGGTTGTCTCGTTTTGATCCTCAATTGCGGCCAACGCCCGAGTAGATTTGTATTGATAGTGATCAGCTTGCAGAAACATCTTGACATTCAGAGTAAGCTGACCTGTTGTTGCTCTTGTCGTCAATGGGCATGATGGAATTGCTCAGTGACAAAGGTTCTTCGAGGCGAGGAAGTTCCAACTCCAACTTCTCTGAAATCGGCCCGGCACTTTGTCAACTATGTTCGATGTCGCTTTGGTTGTTGCGCACGGTGGACGACGTGACTCGGGATTCGCAGGTTTTGAAAGAAAGCCATCAAAGAGCGCCAGCAAAGGCAGGAATTCTAGTACTCATGCTCTCCGAAAGCTGTGTACCCAGCACTCATGACAGACTCAAGCATGACGGCACCGGCTTCCTACCAGATCCAGGCTCGAGACTTCGACCACACCTTGCGGAGAATTGGCTGGGTTCACTTCTGCCTTTTCTCTTCCCAACCCGGAGCATCATGCCGGCAGGAGGTGGACGAAGCACCACCAAGATCACGAGCCAAGGACAGAGGTTGTTCTTATCGCTTGCGTCCCTGCATGTGAGCCTTTTCAAGCCTTCAAGTCCCTGCCATGACCCAGGAGTTCACGGAGCAGCGCCTGGCACAGACACTGCAGTTGCCGCTTGAAGTTGTAAAGCAGGCGAGCTGCCGGTGCAATTCGTGCATTGATGTGCACATGCGAGTTCAAAGAGGCCCAAGCAGGGCAACGGTCTCTCACTTGTAAGACCTTGGTAAAGTGTCCCGAAAATGTGGTTTGCGGAGGCCGCACATTGCTTTCGGCAGCACGCTACCTGGCAGCAGAATCTGCCGCACAGTGCCATTCTCCTCACTTCAGCTTGAGTTCAGGGTGCGTCTTCTCTTAAACAAAAGGTGAAGGCTGCTGTCCAGAAGTTGCAGCCATATGGACTACGTGTCCAGCTTTTTGCCCAGAGAGCCGAAGATGGGCTTCCGTTCCAAAAAACGAGGCCTTCCTCCAGCCAGACCGTGCTCAAGCCTTCCTCGCCTTCCGTCGCTGGCCTTGGCCAAGGGCACCACCCCCGACACGTCATCGCCGCGTACCACCGCAAACTCCGAAAATCGGGTCGGGTCGTGGCGCGTGAGAGTATTTTGTGGCACCTGCTGCGAGACGTCTAGACGCCGTTTCTAGGCCGGCGGCCTTGGCGACTGTTGAGGTTTGTGAGTTGGCAGATACCAGTTGGATACTTCATCAGCTCCGCACATTGTAATGTCACTTGAGAGATCCTGCTGAGCGTCAGGGATTGCACCATATTGCACCTCGTCAGCTCAGCCCTACTGCTTCATAATTTATAACTTCATAGTCAGGCAGAATGCGAGCCGCCAAGACGTCCAGATTTGTGGCGAAGCTCGGCTGCCTATTCATGTCGTCTCAGGTTCTGCCCTAGACAGGCCGTGAGCGGTCACGGTAGGAACCCCTGAAGTCCCTGCGCTGTTCAATGCCGACATCACGCAAAGCACGAGTTATAGTAATTATAGTCCCTGTGGATATTTGCTACGAGCCTTAGTTCTTTGTTGCCATCAGTGCAACGCAGTGCGGAAGCGGGACGAAGTGGACAGTGCAGTTGAAGCTGCAGTAGAAGCCAAAGCAGCTGCTTTTGAGGACTCAAGCAGTCGGCCTTTGAAAAGGCCGCGGCATGTTGCTTGTGAAAAAGCCTTAGGCCTACGGCAATCGTGTAACACTCTCCTGTCGACACAGTTGGCAAGTTGGGCACCCACATTGCCAATTCCATCCTGCCGGAGATGTGAGAGGAACTCAACACATGAAACTACATCGGTGAGTAGATCCTATTAACGTTTAGTGCAGGCTGCAGGCCTTGGAACTGAGCCAGGTTTTGTGCGACCTTTGCTCCGTAGCCGACACGAAGGAGCTCTCGCAACTCTTTGTCTCAAAGGCCTTCTCGGATACAGTCGGGATGCTACACGATGAGGCTAGTTTCGTTGCTGTATGTTTAGATTGATGTTGCTCACTTATTTCTGAAATGCCTTGATGCTGGTCCCTGGTGTTGGGGATGTGGTGCCGACAGGGTCTGACGAATCTTGGCAGGCTTGCTTGTGCCCACAATTCCAACACCTACAGCCAGGAATGGTTTCTTTTCAGTTGGCGAAAGTGCGACTGGGCATCACCCGATGTGGAATCGCATGCATGGACCATCCAAAATATTTCCTGGTGAACCCGGTGGGTCCTACCCTACAAAACACCTTTGTCCGGCAAGGTTGGAAGGCAATACTCGAGCCGGGAAATCAACGACTGAAAAGACTTGGGGCTCCAATTTTCCATCTACAAGATCAAGGCAATGTATGTTTTCTTTTTTTCCCGTACTTGCATACTAGCAGTTTCCTGGCCTCTTCCAGCTTTCAGTTCTGCAAGTTGGCTTGCCGCTTGAGATAAGCAGGTGCTCATTGGAAGAAAGCTCTGTCATCTTTTGCCCGGAGCGCTATTTTATAACGGGATTGGTGGTCGCTACAGAATCGACCTCAATAGCGATGTGAGGTACCGTGCCCGTTTGTAGCATAGAATCTTTTCCAGAGGACCCACATGGAAGGGGCAGTGATTTGTTGCATTATGGTGTTTTCACCAGCTGGTGTTCGCTCAGTCCCAGCAGTCCAAGCTATGATACGGCATAAACACACCACTTGGACGGTCCATCGGCGATGACGTCCGCCTACTGAAGGTGTTGTTCGTGGTTTTCGAGTCGCACTTGCACAAGCACACTGTATGCGTGCATTTCATCTTTCATGCCACCGTGTGCGAAGGCAGGGCATCGTATGGAGCAAAGTATAGACGTCCTTGTGAAGGCTTTTCGTCTCGCAGACATGACGAAGAGTGGGGACCTCGATCTGCAGGAGACCGGGTTGCAATCACATTACAACTCATCTCAGCCTTGTCGCTCAAGATGCCAGCCATTCACTGCGTTTTTAGCACTTCTAGTACGGCGCAGAACGTCGAACCCTTGTGATCCCAGATTTGCTTCGTTGTTATGGCAGGAGTTCGTCACATGGTACGCCACCTTCAGCTTCTCAGAGGAAACCTGGTGCAATTCCCTTTTCGCTCGAAAAGCGAGGTTCGAAGCATCACATGCTGGTCGAGCTTTTCAGCAAATTTAATGCGGCATTGACACTAGGTCACTAGGGTGTAGCATGCCAGTCGCGGTTGCTCCCTTCCAAGCTTTCGAAACTCTGTATTGTAGGCAAAATACAACTGTACCGTGCCAGAAGCTGTTTTCACACAAGGTGGACGAAGAATGCAAGTGCTCTTGGTGATTTGATGGATCCACAGCCATCGACATGAACAGAACCCTTCATCGCTGCATCGCAGCCCTGGCGCACAGGCGAAGTTGATCTTTCTAGACATCCCTCTCTTCTTGTGATCCTGTTTGGGACCGGAGGATATTGCAAAAATAAGTGCGACAAGAAACGACCACGTAGGGTTCGAGACTGAATTTACAAACGGTGTGTGTGTGTGTGTGTTAAGCATACTTCCTTTGGTTAAGAGATGGGCGGGTCGTCTGTGTTGTGGTGTGTGCCGGACCATTATGAGAACAACGAAAACAAGGTGTGAACTTACATCTGGATACGCAGTGTTTCCGGCAGTGCTCAGGTCTTACCCCCCCGCCCGAAAAGGCCACGGTCAGTGCGAGATTTGTGCATGCATGACTCTTGGATGCAGGAGCTGCTGCTCGGAAAGTCCACGAAGAATGTTCGCGATGCCGCTACCTAATTGTCAAACGCACATGTGATAGGGCACTGTCCAGAGCACGAGAGCTCAACACTGTAAGGGTGCGTGGTACACCTCCGCAGCGTGAGGTGGCCAGAACGCTGGGCATCAATTTGTTGGATATCGAGCGGTACAAGCGTGTATTCGACAGCTACGACAAAAACAAAAGCGGCGTCATTGAGCAACCTGGCTCTTTCGGTTCGTGTGGTTTGGTGTTGCTAGGAGCCGTCACGAGAATTCCAGCGCCCATGATGTGTCACGTTTCAAATCGGCAGGCAGGCAGAGTTTCGCTTGATGGTGAACCGCTTGCTGAAGGCATCGCATTTTGAGCGCTCCGTTCTTTTGGGATGTAACTGCTTTAGGCCATGGGTCCGAGTGCTGCGGTATGTTTGCGTGACAAGTATTTGCACGTGGAATGCATTGACACAGTTTTGGCATGGGGCACTTGAAACGTAGGCACCGAATGGTTCGGAGGCACCGACAGCATAAATGCTTTCCAGGTGCCCACAGGGCATCATTTGCCTGCCTCGGTCGAGACTTGGCTAGCATCGGACCAACTTGCTGGGGTATTTGGGCGGTGTGAGAAGCGCGTGTGTCAGGTGAAAAGCTTTTGGAACATGGCTGACAGCCACTTGCCTGGACCTACCAGAGCCGGAGTTTGGCTGATCAACGGTTTTTGTGAGCTGCTTGTGTCACACCTGCGAGACATCTTACGTAGAAGCAGGCCGCATGTGCAATGGACAAGGTGACCCGAAAGCAAAAGACCTTCAACCGTCTATGTCACACCAACTGCGCTTCACTAAAGGCAAAGCTCGTAGGACTGACATTTACAAGGTGATGGAAACGGCCACATTGACTTCCCAGAGTTCTGTGAGTTCTATTTGACGCTTGGCTTCGCAGAGGTGTCCAGGCATGGAGTCGTCTCCAGGCTTTTAATTGAATCAACAAACTTGAGAAGAACCAAAGATGATCAAAGATGCGGATCAAGAAGCTCTAGCCGGGGACATCACCAAATTCGAAGACAGACGATGAGAGACGAGGCAGCTTTTCATTCCAGCCTTGAGCTTTGCTTCACCTCGTGCCCTGCTTATCAATGTGCTTCACCCACAGGCCTGGAGTTTATGGTTGTGCACATGAAAAGGATGAGCATTGTGCTCTAGTTTTCAAGTTTGTTTGTATGGAGCCAACACGACTCCAAATCATGTCGTTCCGCCCGTGGCTCCGGATACCTGCTGCGTAGAGGCAGCAGCGGAAACGCGAACGGTGCAGCACGCTCGACCTCTTTCCTTTCTACTCCTATGTTTAGTTCGCCGCCTGCGGGGGAAGCTACTTCAGTTTCTGGTTCGATGCGAATCGCGCTTTTTCAAGGAGACAGGTTTACGGCTACGGCAGCTCATCAAGGGCTTCCTCAAGTGAGTCCTCAGCCGTGGCAGCCATGAGGGTCAGCTATAGCTTCTCCTCAAGGCCAAGCCAGTGAATGGGGAGCTGTTCTTTCGATGCTTCCACTCCAAGTGACATGCCAACTTGCCAACTAGATTTCTTGGTAACGACAACACAGCTCCTCACGGAACAACAGCCGTCATGACCTCGTTCGAAGATCCCAAGCCAGCTACGACACCGCTCGGGAGTCCCGCGCCGCGTATGACATCTTTCGGGAGTCCTTGACCAGCTATGGCATCCTTCGGGAGTCCCACACCACGACATTGCTCGGGTGTCCCTCGTCAGCTATGGCACCTTATGAAACAGTATCCACTCCTATACCAATGCCAGTCTTCGGGAGCACGTCACCGACAGCGTGGTTGCATGAGTCCCCCTCCCATGTTTGGTGGGATCCGGATTTCTCTCGTTTAAATATTTGCGAAGTGGAAGATAGGAAACCGCCAGCAGCTTTAACCGGAACACAATTTGCTTCGTCTGATAGCTTGTTCTGTGGATGCATTCTGGCCCACCAGCTGATGGTTCACCGACACGTGACAAGAAATAGATAAGGCCTCTCAGATACGGTGAGATGTGGTGCTCGTGTCGTGCATGGTCTGTGTGAGCAGCAACGTGAGCGGCACCCTTCATTTTGTGGCCATGCTGCTTGATTACGGGTCTTCCCGTTTCAAAACTTGCAAATGTAGCATTTTCTATGCCTTACAGGATCTTACACCCACGTCTGCTAGGGTTTAGTGCTTCCAATCTTTTACGTCATTTTACGTCTTGAAGGTTTATACTTTAAGGTTTCAAGTCCTTCGCGCGTTCCAGGGCATGTCTTTTCAGCATTTTTTGACATGAAGGTTTACGGTTTGCCGGTGAGCACTACATTCGCGATCTGATTGGGTTTTCCACCGCCGGCTTTGCAAGTGTTTGTTTCCCCGAGCAGTGTGGTAATGCCATGGGGTTTATGAAACATCATTGTAGATGGACTTGATTCCGACAAGCCGTGTTCTGTTTATGCTGCGGCGCAGGCTGCATCCGCCGAGGATGCCGACTTCATGGTAAGGTCGTCCTCCTGGCACAGACCCGTGCATTGCCGCGTCACAAAGCCCGTACTCCTGTCGCAGTGCTCTGTGCAGTTTGAGGGTGAGATGTGACCTCGCCTCCTAAAAGCCGTGTGCCGTGCAGCTATCCAATTCCGTGCGCAGTATGGGGTTCACACCGCTCAAGCGCCAGTGCGTTGACATTTGGAAATGGATTTTGGGCATATAAGGCTTGGGCTGCTTATTTAGGTGGTCCTTCGTTGTGCCGTTGCCGTCCACTCCCCGATTAGGTAGAGGTTTTTCCACTCGCTAAGCGGGTTGAATATTTGCAACTTTCGTCCCCTTTCAGGGTCCAGGGTGGCCACTCGCCGGTTGTAGACTAGGGTTTGAAATTCTTGTTTCCGTCCGCATTTTTCCGGACTGATGGCTTTATTATTTGTAATGCTCGGGAATTGGCTCGGTGCGGCCACTGTCCCTTCACAGTGGCCACCAATTTTAGGGTTTAGGTGTTTGCAGCAGTGCAGCCTATTTTGAGGGTTGTGGGTGTTGCAGCCCAGCAGCACAACTCTCAACGTTTTTCATTGTGCGGGCTTGCCACTCCCGGTCCTTTATCGGAGCACTTGCTGTTCACGGCGTCGATTCGAACGTCCTCGTCCTTTTGGGGTTCCAGGATATCCAACTGCGAATTAATATAGCCGTTCAATTACCCTATAGCACCCATGGGGGTTACAACTAGATGTCCGTCACTTGAGGGCAGTATCTTCTTGTGTCAGTCTCTACCCAATAAGGAAATGCATACCACGACGACGTCCCCGTGTGTCTATCCAATCTATGAAAGCCGAGCAGAACATGCTACCGTGAGTAGATTCTGCTTGCCTAAATACTTCAAGCAGGGTTTGGTGCTGGCTCCAATCTAGGGTTTCGGACCCAGGAACTGACTTATCCGCTTGGGTCCAAACTTCGCGGCTTGTGACATTTAGGTTGACGGTTTGACAGTGTGTACTTTCGGGGTTTGATTAGGGCTTGCCAGCTCCGACCTTGTGCGTGTTTTGGCAATGCCATGGGATCCCCATGAAATCTTACATTCGCTCATTGTTGCTGACAGAGTTCGTTGTTTTCGTAGTCCGGTTCCGGATCACGGTCCGGAGTGGCCACCGCCTGCTGCAGACTAGGGTTCCTTTTTCCCTTTGCATAAATTCGGATTAAGCTTCAATAGTCAATGTCCAGCCCCTCTTCAAGCTTCCAGGGTTGCGATTTCNNTGCCGGGATGACTTGGTTTGGCCACTTTCCCTTCACAGCGGCCACCAATTTTAAGGTTTAAGCGTTTGCAGCAGTGCAGCCAGTTTTGAGTGTTGACGGTGTTGCAGCCCAGCAGCACAGTTCTCCATGTTTTTCACATTGTGTGGCAAACCGGTTCCTTATCGGGATAGCTGCTTTTAGTTTCGATGTTTTTG